TTTTATGGAGGGACAAGACCTGTGGGAGGAGAGTGCTCAGGAGATTGGAGCTGGCAGGGCCCTGGGGCTGGAGGGATCAGGACACGGCCCCTCCGTGTGTGCCAGGGCCCCGAGGGCAGTAACAACGGACTTCCTTCCATCTCTCTGGCCTTTCTCTTCTCCATTGAGATCTTTCCCTGGTTCTTGTATGTGTTATGAGTACTGGGTCTCATACCTTCATGCTGCACCACAGTCTCCGGGGCATCTCTTCCTTTTCCTGTGCCTTTACCCCAGTCCTGTGTGTCCGTGGTTTCACCCCCAGGCCTCTCCTGCCTTTCGCCAGCAAAGCCACCTCAGAAACCTCAGCTCCATGCACCTGCTCTAAACAGTTATTTTTATGTGAACACTTTAAATAATTTCAAGCGTTGCTCAATATAAACATGAAGAGTCTCTTGCAACTTAATCTTTCTGGCCACAGCTTCAAGTAAAAGAAAAGCAATACGAATTCACAACAAAATGAAGCCTTTAATTTCCCACCCTGAGGTCTGGGTACAAAGCAGTGGTGATGTCTCTGAAAGGTCATTCCAGAAGCAGTCCGAGGGCACTCCCCCCCTGGGACTGGAAATGCAAAATAAGGACTTCAATATGTGAGGGGATTTTTTGGTAAGACTGAATTGCTAAAAGATAAGTGAAGAAGATAAATGTGCCTGATCTGCTGCAGGGTGACACTGCTGCTGGGGTGCCATCGTCATTCATCCTTATGTTCAGTAAAGTTCAGTCAAAATATGGCAGTTTAGGACACTAAATGGTAATGATAGTTTTATCTTTAATGGTTTAAATTCATTGATTTCTTCATTGTTCATTCAAAACACAAATTAAGACCCTCACTAGCAAAACAGAGACATATCATTTTACAGAAATAATGGAATGTAAATTAATATTGTGCTCTGTCTCTTACTTCAGCATTTTTTGCAGTGCCTAAAAGGGTTTGCATAATACTTTAAAAAAAAGTGTGTTTGTACAAATATCAAACTGTTTCCAGTCCTTGTTTGGAATAGTGTTTAATCAGATTTAAAAGGGTAACTGTTCCCTGTAAGGTTATATACTTTCATTCAGGCACGTGAAGTGAAGGTAATGCTGTTTGAAATACTGATAAGGGTAATTGTTTTACATGGATTATTCATGTTCTTTGGATTTTACTTGAATTTCTTGATTTTATCAAACAGAATCATTAAAACCATAATGTCTTGGTTAAATGGGTTACAGATTGTCACGCTTATCCTTTGGATACCTGAAAAATCAACCTTCTGTCTATTCAATTGCCATTTAAAAAAAGACAGATTAAAAGGAAATTCTGAAAATCAGAACAGAAATCTCTGGAGCTTTCTGGGAATGTGATGTCCTGAATGAACAAGGGGGGTTTGTCTGTCCTAAATAAAGGTCTGTCATTGCTACAGGTGTGAAAAATTCCCAGTTAAGTAAGCTGGAACATTGAATGAGACTTAGTCACTGGCTTAAAAATATTCACTGTCTGTTTGAAGATTAACATGGAGTATAACATGCCATTCCCAAAAGCATTAGCAATATTTAAGTTGCATTTCTTTGAAAACTTTGCTTAAAGTAAGACAAAAAACCTTAAAAAAATTTTTTTTGAAAAGAATAGATTTCAATAAGTAAGAAATAATTTAAATAGTTAAACTAATAAGTTAAAATGCTCAGAAGGGATATATAGGTAATCTCAAGTATCTTTAAGTACTGAGTTTGTCCTGAGCCACAAACTGTTTCCCAGACAGGGATGCAGATCCCGTGTGCTCCGACTGAGGTTTGGAGGAGGCTCCTGAACCTCTGGAAATTCCCACCCGAGGCCACTTCACAACATTGTCGGTGTGAGTTTGGCACAGTGCTGTTGGTGCTGCTCTCTTAGTAGGTCACCAGAAAACATTTAAATCTTAATTAAGTATCTATTTGATTTGATTTTGTTTGTTTACTACTTAATATTAGTAGGCAGTAATCCTGAAGGCCGCTCGTTTTCCTCCGTCTGAATGGAAAGAGGGATGTTATTATGGGCTGGCGTGGGTTGTGTTTCAGTTGGTGGCTCTTTGTGTCTCGCAGGCAGTGGATGGTGCTGGTGGAGCCAGGATGCACTTTCTCATACTTCTCAGACTCATCAGCAGCGCAGCGGAAATCTAATTATAGCTTTGCTGTGATGATTTCTGTTCTGGAGGGAGTTTAAAATGAGTTACATAAACAGAGGTCTGTAAGCCCAGTGTGACAAAAAGGAAACCAAGGAAATAATGATGATTGTGTCGGTACTGTGTGTCACCCAGAAACACGGGTGTGCTCAGAGCTGGTCCCTGCTCTGCTGTGAGCTGCGTCTGGCGCAGAGGGACGCACGCAGCACCTGAGGAACCCCAGTTCTCAGCTTTCACTTGAGTGGAGATCTTGAAAAGTTTGTTATTTCTTGAACAGCATCTGTGCTGAGGAAGCTTTATGCATCCCAGGCAGCCAAAATGTAGTGTATGGGTTATCAGGAATTTTGGGGATCCAGTAGCAGCTGTACAGTCGTTTGAGAATGTGGGTGGTTCCTATGGAGGCTTTCCTTGGAGAATGTGCTTTGGACTGTTCATAGGTCTGTCAATAAATCACAGAATTCATAGGTGCGTTCACTGAGTTTATGTTTAATGTTTGTATTATTTAATTAATATACTTAAGTTTCTCTAAGTTGTCAAACATGTTTCCTGAAAATCAGTCCTTTCCACTTACCTGCATTTCAGAGTTGTTTGTATGTTGTTCATTTTAGCTCTGTCCTTTATGAATAACCATCTCAAATTAATGCCATACCCAAGCTATTTCAGTATGCATTGATTTAGGACATTGTTCTTTGTGATGAAGAAGAGTGGCTCCCTCAGCTCCATGTGCCTGGGGAGAACTGAATTTCCCGGGGGCTCGGGGCTGGGAAGTGCCCTCCCTCAGCTCCCGGTCTCTGCTTCTCCCACCACATTTCCCACCTTCCTCATCGCTCCGAGGCATCCCCAGGAAATGGCAGAATCCTGGAGTTTGTAACTCTGGCGTGTTCCTTGTTTTCAGGAGTGGGTTGTATCATTAGATGCTGGGTTCTGCCCCCGTTTCTGCCCCATCTGTTGTATCTCCCTTTGCCCATTCTGTTTTAAAATTTAGAGAGTCAGACAATTTGTTTTTCCTTCTTGTTTAGTGAAAGATTTTTTGAATGCTTTCCACTCTTCCCGTAAGTCTGTTTTTGCCCTGTGAGAGGAGCGAGAGTAAACTGCCTGGGAGGCTGTCGCTGCCCTCTGCCCCCTGTGCTGCTCTGCCAGGGACATGTGCCTTCTCAGGGCTGCAAGGGCTCCTTCATCCCAAGCTCTATGGGTTTTTGTAAGAGTTCACCAGAACTGATGATAGCCGTCCTGAACTCTCTGTGAAATACAGCTTCAGCAAGTGACTGTCCTGGTTTGAAGGCTGCTCCTCAGCGGCGAGTCCCAATTCGATTGCCTTCTCAGACATCCTGTAGCGATTTTGGTCCTGATTTCTCCTGACCATTACATCTTTACTACCTTAGATAAAAACACATCTATTTAAAATGGTATTATTCTTCAAAATGTTTAGACATGTATTAATCAAACTGTCATTACCATGCTTGGTATTTCATACCAAATAAATGCTGATTTATTTTTTTTTTGTGAGATTGCATGTTTAGCATTTGCATTCCCTGACGGAGCCACTTCTGGAAAATGGGAATAATATCCAAAACCAATATGTAGTTTTATTCCAGTATACACAAACAAGTCTATGCCAACCTTGAATTACGGATTTAACTGTTTTGTTTCACAATTTCTGATATTTTAATGCATTTAATTTATCACCTTTTATTCTGGTTTTCTGTCATGCAGTGTTCTGGTGTTTCTCTGTACATTCGTGCTTTTCAGCTATGTGTTTTAGTGGATTTTTTTCCCTGTCAGTACAAATGCATTTACATTTCCATACAATGCATACATTTCTCATGCTTGGTTTTTTAAGTAAAAGTCTATGCCCCCCGGGGGTGAAGTAACATTTTCTAATCCTTAGTAGCCTCTCCTCACACGGGTGTTGCCTGTAAAGGCTTGAATCCTTCAGGACCAAAACATGGACCTTGTGTCAGTAAACAAATCACATTTATTGCTTCCTAAGTGTTTACACAATGACAAAAACCAAGCCCCCGGGGAATGATATTGTAAAAAAGAACAGTTGGTTTAAATTAGGTTTCCATGTGAAATATAACTACTTTTTATGGATGTTGTGGGAACATAAACTGGAAAGAAAATCTGCGCACTGATAGAATGCAAGTTTGATTTTTTTTTTTATTTGTTTAAATACAAACATAATGATGTACTGAGTTAATTTCTGGTTCTGGTGTTAGTTAATCACCAATCAGAAGCTGTAGTATGGTCACACTTAGGAAGTGGTGGGGTTTTTTTCACTTCATTTGCCAATAGATAATGTGAATTATTTTAAATGCTCAGTGCATATAGGAATTAGCAAATTTGTACATTAAATACAACTACCAGTTTTGTGAAATTAAGCAAAAATGAAAACTCCAGTTTATGAGCTGTGACTGTCCCTGTTGCATGAACAAGGGTTGTTCAGTGTGAGGCTGAGATTTGGAAGCTGTATCAATGAGAATTTACCCTTTGGATCTCTGGCAGCATTAGAAATCAGTGCCAGCTTAAGCTGTTCATTTGCTTCCGTGGCCTGACGGTATATTCAGAATCTCTTCTATTAAGATGCAGAAGTTTTTTGTTTAATATCAAGTATTTCTAGAGTAGTTAGTGATTTGCCTGTTGTGAGAGTGGCTGTGTAAGGCGTGTTTGCAGTGCACTTGTGACTGGGCTGTGAGTGGGAGAGGAGAATTTTGACTGGTGCCCTCCTGATGGAGGGAGACCGAAAAACCCTGCGTTATCCACCAAGAATGTGTGAGTGCTCCCAGTTACACGGCTTCGGCTGACTGCACTGTCCCTTCTGTTTCCAAGGTGAGCTCCTGGGTTACCTGGCTGATCCTGACGGCGGGTTCCATGGAGGAGAAACGGGAAGTCTTCTCATACTTAGTACATGTGGCAAAATGCTGCTGGAATATGGGCAACTACAATGCTGTGATGGAGTTTCTGGCAGGGCTAAGGTACTGGCAACTCTTTTTTTCAATGGCTTTTCAGTGATGACTTACACTGGGGCTTCTGTTGAGCAGATGTCTCTGGAGAACAGGGGCCTGAACGGAAATCCGTGACTAAATCACATCGTCTCACCCTGGGACTTTCTAGTAATGCCTTTGGACAAACGAAGGGTGCTAAAAGCCTTTTTCTTCAACATGCTCTGGAGACACCATCCGTTTTCCTGGTGCATGCTACATATGTTACATTAGAAAACATACCTTTTTTTAAAAGAGAAAAAATTAAAATGTGAAAAGAAAATGGGAAGACAGTTGTGGTTTATCTAATCAATTAAAACTGATGGAATGTGGGGTCGGAGTTTCCAGAGTGCAAGTGGAACATAGACCTGGTAGCATTCTAGAAGGGTCAGTCTTAAACTGTAAAAGAACCTAAACAACCCAGACCAGCACAAACCCCCAACAAATCCAAACACACAGCTAAACCTCTTTTTTTAACCCCTCCAATTTCCTTATACTGACTGACGTTGGTATCTCCTGCTGTCGTGGTCTTACATGGTCAGACCTGTGGTGTCTCCAGGAGCAGGACAGGGTTTGGGGTTAGGGATGGGGTCAGGGACAGAGTTTGGGGTTAAGGATGGGGTTTAGGGTTGGGGACAGTTTGTGGCTGTCCCACAGAAGGGCAGGTTGGTGCAGGGCCAGGGGAGCAGGAGAGTGGTGCCTCCACGGGCAGTTCAGCGGCAGCAAATTGGGCGGAACAGGGAAGAGTTAAGATCAGATTTCCCATCTCTGGGCACTGCCCCTCCTTGTATATGGTGTTTGTGTAACAAAGCTTTAAAAGTGTCTGTATTGTTGCTCTTTGTGGTTTAGTAAGGATTCTCATTGAGCTATTTGTTTACATTTTTGGTATATAAAACACATTTGAAACACTCACAGGCACAGGGAGCCTTTCTGGGCAGAACGCAGCCGCAGTCCCCGGCCGTGTAAGTCATGAGGGGAAATGCAAAGCAAATTTAGGGCTTAATTTTATCTCTAAAGCATCTGCACAGCAGAGGGGAAGGAGAGGAAGGGTAGTGCTGACCAGCAGTGTTTCTGGGACAGGGCTAAGGCTGTCCTGCTGTCAGCATTTCTACAGAGCCGTAGGTGTGTTGGGGCCGGGGCAGAAGGGCTGTGACACCGCAGAGACACACAGCTCCGCAGGACTTGCAGTCCCCGGGGAGCATCAGCAGCTATTTCTGCTCAAAATCAAAGATTCTTTTTATCTGCAGCACTGCACTGGGGGCTGAAAGCTGGAACATGGTCCCGTTCTATTTATTTCTCTGAAAAGGAATAATTTATTTTGTGGGTGAAATGGGAAAAAAAACCCAGTGTAAATTATTTTAAATACATTTAATTTAAAAAAAAATACCTTAGCTAAATTTATGGATTGTTCATAATACAACTAAAGGAATTTGTAATAAACCATCTGGTTTATCTTTGTGCCATTTCCTTAATCTTTTCTTATTTTTTCCCAGGCCCTTATAAATGTAAGGCACTGACGCGATGACAATGCCATAAAGCCTGCTTGTGTGTCTTATGCAGCTTGGCTTTCATTAAAGTGTTCCATTTCACTCCAGTAGATCAGACTGTTTGTTTCTCCTTTTTAGTTTTGTTCTTTAATAATTCAAAGGGGGGAAGATGATCCACCAACCAGAATTTACATAAAAATAATGACTCTGATGTCATTCATTCTTTTCTGACTAATGATGATAATTTCCTCTATTACATGTATGCTGCAAGTGCTGAACTTGAATGCAAATGGTTTCAAATTCTTTTTAGTACATGTTGTGATCTCTTTTTGCAATAGGTCAAGAAAAGTCTTAAAAATGTGGCAATTTATGGACCAGTCTGATATTGAAACCATGCGCAGTCTGAAAGATGCGATGGCACAACACGAGTCATCATCCGAGTACAGGAAGGTGGTCAACAGGGCTCTCAATATCCCCGGCTGCAGAGTCGTGCCTTTCTGCGGGGTGTTCCTCAAGGAGCTGTGTGAGGTTTTGGATGGAGCATCGAGCCTCATCAGGCTCTGTCCACGATACAACTCCCAGGAGGAAGCGCTAGAGGTAAATGAGGCTGGTCGTTCGTAGCCATCCAGTGCTCTATCTTATATTACTTTATTTAATATGATTAGTTATTTTATACGAAGGCATCATCCAGTAGAAGTTTTCCAAACCCATTCGGTTACATGGAGCTCGGTTGAATTCCCATCGTTACTGTGGGGCTTTAGGCTTGGTGGTTTGTGCCGAGTTCGGTGTCAGAGCACGGAGAACGTCAGGGCAGGACCAAAGGCTCGTGTTTATACTTGGGGGGAAGTACGTACGTAAATCCTGAGAGATGTAACTGCTTTCTGTTAAAAGCTCTGACCTTTTACTTAACTCACTGGGAATTGGAAGGTTTTCAGTTTCTTGAAAACAGAATTCAGATGCTCAGTGGATCGAGCTTCTCCTCTGTGAAAAGAAGCAATTCCCTTGAGTTTTATTGTTGTGGTTTTAAAAGAAAAATGCCCCTGTTACATGAAAAGGTTAATACTGAGGCTTTTAAAAGTTTTCAGGAGCGATTGTAGCTTCTGTTACTTGATTTATGCAGTGATTTGGTCTGTTAAGGGTTGGAAGTAGGTACAAAATCCCATTAGAAGCTAATAAGAAATATATGCTAAATATTCTTAATTCACGTAAAAATGTCTCCAGTGAGAAGCAGATGACACAATATTCTATTTATTACTGTACTAATCTTTTAGATATCTCTAGTTTGTTTCAGATTACAGTGGACAAGATAATTTCTTGCAACGAGTAGGCCAAGATGGTTTGAATAATCCAGAAAAAGAATCAACAGCAAACAATATTTTTCAAACTATTCGGAGCTGCAATCGCAGTTTGGAATCTGAAGAGGGTGAAGATAATTTTAGTGAAGGGAGTGATTCAAGAAAAAACTCTCTGAAGGACAAAAACCGGTACCAGTAGGTCTCGTTTTATTTTCTGTCTTCACCTGTATATTTCATGTTTTTAATTTTTAATTTCCTTTTACCAAGGCTTGCTTGTAGAAATAAGACTTGTCTTCCCTTGTATCCTCTTCCTATTTAGAACTTTCCTCCCTGCAGTTATGCTAAGTATCTGGTACTCAAATGCTTGAAAACTCTCTGTATAGTTCTATTTTCCCTCATGATGCAATTACTTCCTCTCACGATACGGGTAAATCCTTTTCGTCTTACACATGGGGCTTTAAAAATCCACAGTTATGATTGCAATTTTGATCTGTGGTGACAGGAATAGCACCAGGACATAGCTGTTATCAGAGCTCAGAACATTACATTCTGCGTGCTCGAGTAGCATTCTGCCCCCACCGAAAACAAAGGTTATTTATTGGCCTTCAAAAGACCTCTTCTTTTAAGGACATGTTCGTTTGAAGGTTTTAAATTATGTCCAGTAAACATTCGTGAGTCAGTGCACATTTTGTATTTTCAGGCTGCTGTAGTCCTGCTATTTTACACAGAAGTTTACTTAATTGTGCCCCATGTGAAAAAGCCCCGTGGTCAGTAATCTCGGACTCTCACTTTGAAGACCTGGTGTATCCTGTACCATTCACCAAGAAATAGGGTAAACACAACGTTTAAGACGTGGCTTGTTCTTCTAGAACCTTGCTTTGCAGGGAAGCTGCAGCCCGTGCAGACATAGGAGGGTCTGAGTCACAGGACTGTGCCCTTCGGAGGGGAAGCTCTGTAACGTTACAGGAGGGCTTGCATAAAAGAGCCTGCTTCGGCCACTGCTGGAGTTATTTTATTGATAATGTGTATCAGAAATATCCATACGCTCGGAAGGATCCAACCTATTTCAGCTACTTACACATAAAATCTAATAAGTGACTGCCTGAGAAGGAACTACCATCTTCCTGTTTTAAATGCATTTATTTCATTAACATGCAATTCCAAATTTCATTTCAAATAAATAATCATTATTTCCTGAAAGAATGGTTTCTAATGGAATTATTCACATCTGGCTGTAGCTGCTTCTGGGAAGCGGAGCAGCAGATTGAGCCGAGACAGACAGACCCCTTCTCTGCCCATTTATTTGTCTCTTGACTTCAGTTCAAATACCGGCTTCCAGGAATTATTTTTGTTAATTAATGTGCTCTAGAACCAGCTTGCAGCCCCCAGTTGAGATGGAGAATAAACTAGGGAAATCAGTGCATCGCTTGGAGGAGCAAGGAGACAGCCAGAGAGGGCCGAGGAAGAAACTTGGGTCTCTCTTCTTGTGAGGTCATCTTTGTATACGGTATTACAAAACCCAAATATGTAATAATTATGTACTACCCGATAACGGTAATATTGTGATTATAAAGGCAGGAAAAGACACTGTGTAACATGTTTCTCATTACTTTAAAATTACAAGGAAGGTTTTCAGTCACTTTGCCTTTTGCTGATTGATGTGGGTCAGTATTGTGGAGCATGGACCTACCAAAGCTGGTGGGTTAGTTTGATTAGAAGAAAATCAAAGGTATCTCTTAAATCAGTGGGTAGTGGGTATAATTAGTGTATGAATAAACTCTGTCACTCTCTAATCAGTGACCTGTCTAGTCACCCTGAATTTCTGCACATGCCAGATAAATAACAAACTTCAATCATTATTAGAACTTCATATTGACGGTTCACAAAGAAATAGAAGTAGGTAGGAAAAGATAAAAAAAATCAAGTTTGAAATACAGTTTTTATAGAAGTGCTAATAGGTGACCTATGAGGATACTTTAAACTTCCGTGCATCGGTTGATTAGCCTGGGCTCATCTTCACATTTCAGCTTTCCTAATTACAGTAAATACCTTTTAAAAAAACAGGAGAAAACCTCAAGATTTTTTCTTTCCCTGTCCTGTGCAATTTTCCCCTCTCAGACTGCAACCTGTTTTAACCTTTCCTCTGTTCTCTCTCTTCCCGTCCTTGCCCCTCAGTGCAGCACATGGCACCAGAGCTCCCGACCCCCGACGAGTCCTGTAAGTGTGTTCCCGTCCCTGTCCCTGGGCCACCCTCCCCGGGAGCCTGGTTGTGTGCGTGGTTCCCTGTGTGCTCACCTTCCTGCTGCCTGGGCATCCCATCCCCTGCGTCCCGCTGCTCTCCGTGGGGAACAGGGCACTCACAAAGCTCTGCCCTTCCTGGCTCCCTCCAGCCGGGCACAGCGACTCCCACACTACATTTTGTAGTGGCTTTGCAGAGACTCAACTTGGTTGTTTTGAGGTTATGGGGAAGAAAGAGCTGCTTTAGTTTTTAGTTGTTTGCTAAATTTTAAAATCTTAATCTTGTATAATACAGGTAAATATTTTAATATACAAGTGTCTGAATAAGAGTCTGGTAAGTTTATAGCAGCTCAGTTCTAGTGCATGACCTTTATTGTGAGGAAGATTCCTTAAGGAAATAGAGCTCCAGTGGAGGCTGACGGAGTTATTCTGCCTTTGTCAGTCCCCTCACCACACAGTAAATCCTCAGCCTGTTGGCCAGGTTTTGCTAAATTTGATGGAGGGGTAGAGATCTTACTGATTAATAAATTGGTAGAGGAATCATTGGAATTGATGTCCAGAATAAGGGGAAAATTGAAATGAATCAGTGTCCCAGAAAGAGCTAATGGCTGTTTGTGGTGTTTAGCTCAGGGACACACATGACTGAGGAGAAATCACAAGCTGGTCTGGATTTTATTGGCCAGTTATCCTTAGGAAAATGTGCTTCATTAGTTGTGGTGTACATGGAACAGTTTGCTCTCTTTATCTTCATTAAAGCACTACCAAAATACTGAACAGTTGTGCATTCATATGTGTTAGAAGCTTCTGCAGGGAAGAAATTATATTTAAACCGCCTCATTTATTAATTCAGTAATGTTGCTCTTTATCTACTCTTTCTAATGATGGTAAAATGTTTCAAAAATTTTGGTCGCTACATACAAGTGTCATGTTAATAATTTGATTGATAGAATTAAATTTTCTAATGGAAAGTGATAAAACTCTTGCTGCATTCTTATAAGGAAGGTATGTGTTTTAGCCACTGTCTTACGAGTGTTAATCAGAGAATTATAGAACGTGAACGGTCCGCACATGAAATTAATAATAGAAGAGACATTTGAAGCCTCTCTTCAATCCACAAGATCCTGCTGACAGTTTCCACATATGGCACTTGCTGTCTCAGCTGAGGCAATCTTGTGCTGTGGATTTAGAAACTGGAGTCACTTGGCTTTAAGATCCCAACAGACCTTTCCCAAAAGGAATGTTTGGAAAGTTCTAAGCAAATATAATTATATTGTTACAAGAGTTTTAATTAATTGTAGCAGCATCTATTAATGAATTCAAAATTGCAATAACGTAAACTGTAATACTGTAAAAACTACAGATGTTCCTCTAAGTCCAAATTACGTAGTGATGATAGGATTCGTTTTATTTAAACTGCAGCAGAAAAAATATTTGTCAATCATAGCATAAACCAGCACATGTATCACTGAATGTACGTCTCTCACCTTTGTTCCTGCACAGGTTTATAATCGGAGACCTTTCAGACTCTGAAAACGATATATTTGAGCAGCTGAAGGAGTGGGACACGAACGCAGCAGAAGAGCAGCAGAAGGCTTTCTGCCACGGGATAGAGCTCATTCCCTGGTACGTGCTGTCTGTCCGGGCTGATGTCCACCAGTTCATGCAGCAAGGGGCCACCGTCATCCGCTACGACCAGGAGACCCATCTCTCCGCGCGCTGCTTCCTCCAGCTGCAGCCCGACAACAGCACTTTGACTTGGACAAAGCCCACCACGGTTTGCCCTGCCAACGCCAAGGCAAAGCTGGGCGTGCAGGGTAATACTGCTGAGCTGGGTAAATACCAGTTTCTGGGGAACACTGGGCTGGTGGAAGGGTTTTTGGACTTGTTTTCAGCCAAGGCTGTGTACATGGGACACTCTGGCATTGATATGCACACTGTGTGTGTTCAAAATAAACTCTGTAATATGTCCCTGGAAGAAAATGGTATAACACTACTCTATGGACTTCAGACTACTGATAATAAGTTGCTGCACTTTGTTGCTCCGAAGTACACTGCCAGGATGCTGTACGATGGCTTGCTGGAACTGACTAAAGCTGTAAGAAAAATGAGGAGATTCCCTGACCAAAGACTACAGTGGCTACGGAAACAGTATGTCAGCCTTTACCAGGTAAAAGAACCTGTGATTTTGGGTAAGAAAAGTTGAAAGATGTCAACAACTTAATGTAATGCAATTAGTTTCTATTCTATGTAAGCTGAGGTTAAAGATGAGCAGCAGGTCTCCAACTCTGGAACGTGGCTTAAGTCAGTCAGACCTGATTTCCTGCATGATGTTCTGTCAAACCTTACGTGTTTTCAGTATGCTGAAGTTAAATCTTCTTCTATTATGAAGCTCTTCATGTGTTTGAGTTTTAGAATAAGTATTTTATTAAAGAAAAAGCAATGACTGTACTTGAAAAGGGTGCTGACTGGAATACTGCGTGATGAGACTTAGGGCCAAAAAACCCCCAAAATGGCAAACAAAATAGCCCTTTGGTATTCATGCAGTAGTTAAAAATTGCCTCCTCTTGATGTTTTGTCTTTTATCGGTTCCTTAGAGATGTCTATATTATTGGTTCCTTAGAGATGTCTATATTATTGCTTCAGAAAATGTGTCTGTTGCTGCTCCCCTTGCTTTGTTAACGCTGTATTTCTGCAGGAGGATGGAAGGTTTGAGGGCCCGACGCTGGCACAGGCCGTTGAGCTGTTTGGAGGCAGACGGTGGAGCGCGAGGAGCACAAGCACAGGGACGCTCACCAAGAGCACCGAGAAACCCGCCGTGCAGAGGAACAACACTCTGGGAATAAGCACAGCGAAGAAAAAGAAGAAAGTGCTCATGAGGGTAGAATATTCTGTTCCTTACCAGCTGTTGTGTTTCTGTCCTACAGTTACGGTGCGGTTGGCTGCGTTCTCAACCAGAGAAAAGGAGTTCCATGCGCATTTTAGAGCTGTTTGTGGCAGTTTCAGGTTTTGGGCTTACTGTTTTCCAATGGTTTGCATCTCTTGTCTCATGCTTGAAGCATTCTCGGGACACATGGGTGCTGGGGCTAGGCACAAGGGGATGGAATCTTGTTGAGACCTTTAGGTGCTTCCTCGGTATAAAGCTAAAATCTTGGTCCATAGTAAAAATATTAAAGTGTGAAGTGTTTGAAGACTGGTGCCAGTCTGTTTGTTCCTTTTCGCTTGCCAAGGGGATGGAATCTTGTTGAGACCTTTAGATGCTTCCTCAGTATAAAGCTAAAATATTGGTCCATAATAAAAATATTAAAGTGTGAAGTGATGTTTGAAGACTGGTGCCAGTCTGTGTGCTCCTTTTCGCTTGTATGTTCCCAAAACCATCACCACAGTTACTCTGCCTCATTTAGCACACAGTGTTATCTTAGGTGGGTGAGAGGAACACTGAGCCTTGTCTGATGGTCTCCTGTCTTGTCCTGAGCTCAACCACTGTTAGCGACAGCCAAGGGAGAGGAACATGCGAGGGACTGGCAGCTCTACGCTGTCCATGTGTCCTAGTGGGCAGGTGGGGGGTAGATCCTCAGATGAGAAGATCCATCCTCTTTAGGCCCCTATCCCCTTTGAATGGTGTAAAACCAGCTGCACCAATTCAGAGGGGCATGAACGTTGTCATCTCCTACTGAGGTAACACCCAACGGTCCCACACCTCCCTATGTCTCTTGTACAGCTATTGGCCTTGCAGGACTCTGTTTCATAAGGAATAGCTGCCCAATTCAGAGGGGCATGAACGTTGTCATCTACTGAGGTAACACCCAACAGTCCCACACCTCCCTATGTCTGTTGTACAGGTATTGGCCTTGCAGGACTCTTTTTCATAAGGAATAGCTGGTTGTTCTTGTGGGTTTGTTACAGATTGCACTGATGAAGAATGGGAATAGTAGTGTTTTGGGGATGTTTATTGTGGTGCTTATTATTTCTAGGGTGAAAGTGGAGAGGCCACTGATGACGAAATGGCAACTCGGAAGGCAAAAAGCTGTAAGGAATATCGTAATAGGAGTGGTTCTGATCCTCAGGATATTGATGAACAAGAAGAATCAGGTAGATATATGCCTTCAGCACTTAAAAGTCCCTCAGGGTTTTGCTCAAAGTCTTTTTATACAGACATTTTTAGTGGTGTTAAAAATGCATTTATGATATAAAACTACTTTTGCATTGAAACTTCAAATGCTGTAAACTTTTCAATTAATTTCTGTAGTTGTTCATGATTTCTCTTTATTTTAGTTTCAGTAAAACTTCCTTTCCATTCAGATGAAATGGGTATATAAATGTTGCTCAGGATGTATCTTTTTGACTGTCTTGGGACAAATGTAGAATCCCTTTAGTGCCTTACTGCTTGTTAATGAATTGTGATACAGGACTTTTGGACAAAAGCATTTTTATTGGGCCAGATGTTGTAATTGTGCTACAAATTTTGTTTTCTCCGCAGATCCAAATATTATTATTAATACTTCTCCATCTAACAACCTGCCATCCAGAAGAGCTCACTCTCTGACAGCATCTGGATCCCCTAATCTAGGAGCTACAACACCTTCGCCAGCACGACCAGTCTCCTCTCCAGTAATGTCTTCCAGCAAGAGTCCCTCTAGGTAAGGACAAAATCAATGCTTTGCTTTAAAAAGAAACAAAGTTACTGTTACTTTATTATCATCAAATGTGGGTTTTATGTCAAACTGATGAACCCTGACAAATCCAATGCCAGAAATGCCATTTGTCTTTTGATAAACATTTAGAACTCACTGTAGAACTACATGGGATGTGTGAGCTGAAACGCCAGGAGCCTGAGGATGGCTCTGTAGCACGTGCTGGAGCAGCTTCACTCTGTGGCTGTGACAGCAGCGGATTGGAATGCTGTTCCACAACCACACAGATACCGAGTTTAACTCTTTTTCCAGATCTTCTCCAGCACATAGTTACAGGCGTCTTCTGTATAATGAAAATCAACAGAAATGTTACAGATGTGTGAAGTTCTGAGGGTTCTCAGACAAGTCATTTCTACCTGGTTGCAGTACCCACCTGGGTACTTTCCTTCCAGGTCTCTGCTCTTTGAGATTCATCCTTTCTGTGTCGCTGCGGCTGTGCAGTGACATGCATCAATTCTGTAAACAGTAATAGGGGCGATGGTAGTAGTTGTAGTAACAATAATGTAATGGCAATAACATGTCAAGGATGTGGTACTTTATGACATACAAGAAGATGGTCTCAACAGAGCCCTTCCAGTGCCTTGTAAGAGAAGGAGTGGATGCTGAGGTGTGGGTATGGGTATGAACCGTAGGCTTTCAAGGGCAGCAGAGGTTACTGCTGCTGGTAGAATGTTTTTTTGACGAGATACGTCTTGTGTAATGGTTTATGTTGTGTATTTCTTAGGGATTTTTTTTACACTTAAAAAAAATGGGGTTTGGCAATAGGTGTGGGTGGTAGAGCCACCGGTGGACATCTGTGGTTGGCCACTTCTCCCTTCTTCTGCTTCCTGAGGCTCTTACCGAGTTCTTTACTTACTTTCTTTGCTGTCATTCACATCCATGGAATGAACATACCAGACTGGGATTTATCTCTGTAAGACATTTCTCTTTTTTAAGGATTGGAACAGCTTTCTTTTACATTAAACTAAAGAAGTACTGCTTTACTGCCTCTAGAAAATGCTTCTCTGTTTTGCAAATCTGATTTTTGCTTTCATGCCAAAATAATTATTATTCTCTAAATGAGATTAAAAGGCTCAACAGAGAGCTTGCCATTCCCAGGGGAAGGACAGCTAATGTTCCTCTAAATCCTCTCAGTGCTGGGTTCCTGTACAGATCCCTCTGCAGCTCAGCGCCGTGGCCTCCCCGAGGAATGGCAGGTTTTCCCTGGCAGAGCTTGGAAATTCCACCCCGTGGCTCAGTGGAGCTCTCCCCAGCCCCGTACCACCCTTCTTACTTCTTCTGTAATCAGCTGGTATGGATGGAGGGTGTGCTCCATCTCAAACCACGACAGCGTGCTGTCCTGCAGGACACGCGCCCGGCACGGATGGTACCTTCAGGCAGTGCACCCACGGTCCTGGCATGGCCTGTTGTGTTGTGTTATGGTAAATAAACGTTGGTCTGTCAGGAAATAATAATACCTGCCACAGCTTGTCTCAGCCACTTCAGGTACAGCACACCCCAGAAATGAAAATGATGTCTCAGAGACAGGCCAGCACCATGGGGTACCAGCCCAGACCTGAGGCACTTGCTGGGCAGCGCAGAGCAGTGGGAACTCAAGGCTTTTGCCCCCCTCAGAAGAAATGGCAGGAGCATCTTAGCAAAATAGATACAGCTGAGGGGGGAGCAGATGGGGAGAGTGGCCCACAAGGTCTATGGTACATGTAGACTGTGGGCACCCCAATATTCCTCCTGGAAGCTGCTGCCCTTAACAGCAGCGATACACAAGCAGAGTAAGTTTGGGAACCCACACAGGCTGGACACAGACATCTTTTGCTTCTTTTTGCTCCAATTTTGTTGTTAATTCTGCAGTTTCCTAAAAATCAAATTACATATTTGTTATACCCAACCAGTTTTGTCAGTAGCATTATGAATTAAGATAAAGTGAAGTATCCATTTTCCAAAGTCACAGAAAGTTGGAACAACCTGGATAATGAAATAACCCAGGAAATACAGGATCCAGTGGGAGCGCTTGTACGCATTTGTATGGCTCTGAACAGATTAGAGGCAGCAGAATTTATTAATTCAGATTAAGACTCATGATTTGGACTCAAACCCTGAGAAGGCTCCGTAGTTGGAGGCAGGGTTGGACACGAGTGGGTTGTGCACATCCCTCAGGGAACCCAGGGCTGGGGAGGGAGCTGAGGGTCCCGCTGGGAAAGCTGAGCTGGTGACAAATGGTGGTGGGCTGCAGTGTGACAGCTGGAGGAGGGGGCAAGACAGGTCTCTAGTTCTTTTTCTCTTGCCGTGTAATATGTGCACTAACTTTATCTGACCCGTAAATTACATCAATGTCTCCACCGAGTGAGAAGTGCCAAATAAACTAAAATTTCTTAAAGTGAAAAAAAATATCTAATGATAGCAATATGTTGTACATTTTAAATAATAGTAATTCTCATAGGTAGAGAATGAAATATGCTCTTTTTACGTATATAACTCACAACCTTGTTGTTTGTGATCCCTTATGAATAGTTTACATTGGGAATAAATCCTTGTATGATCCAGGTGTCCAGATGATTTCCAAGCACAGGTAGCCTGCAGCTGTCTTCTCTCACCCTCTCAAAGCAGATGGGCATCCAGCCAATTCCCAAGTTCTTTGGAAATGTTGTGCCTCCTGTGAGGTGGAGGAAGCAGGGAAAGGGTGGTGATGCCACCAGGAAACAGAGAACAGGATGTGGAAAATTAGAGAAGGGGAATCTTTTGTGGAGAGAATAAACTGGCTCTCTCATTAGCTGTGTACAGGTGTAATCCAGACTGCTGCCAGTTACAGGTTTGGTTGGTGGTGATACTGGGGGTTTTGCCTTTTTTTTTAACAACCTGTATTTATTGCCCATGGAAGGATTGTGGAAGATACTCTTTAGTGATCAGATCCGGTGAGATGCTGAGCATTATCATCTGCTGCTCCGTTTGGTACTCTGCAGTTCCACTGGTTTCTGGAGCCAGGAGACTTTCCTTACCATGGTTTATTTTTCTTGTCTGATAAAAATGTTAGGAATTATTTCAGCCAAAATGTTATATGTGGTATGTCAATACTTGCCATAGTAATGTCAAACAAATTGAGCATTATCAACTGAAATAAATGGTAACCCTGACTGTTGTTGGGAAATATCTGGAAACCCACGGGCTGGGAGACAGAGTGTTGAGTTCCGAGAAAGTGGAAGGGTTATGTGCCTTAAAATGCACCTTTAATGCTTCCAGATATAAGAAACCCCAGGTGCATAAGGAAATATTTGGTTTTCTTGCATATCCAGTCAGAGTATTACTATTTTACTTTGATGTGTAGAGCTTTAAGGAATTATCCATCCGTTTTATTTTTCCCTCAGCAAATCTTCAATAAACTTCATAAAGAGCCTGCACTACAAGAACACTGCCAGAGTTTTCTTTAAAGGGAAAATGAAAATGCTTTCATTTGTGCCATTTTCACCAGGCCCTTCTGCACATGGCAGAGTTTTAAATAGCATGGATATGCATTATTAATTCTGGCAAAGTCTGCCCTTGTCTTGAGGGAAAAAAATAGCTGCCATCAAACAAGAAGGCACGAACAGTCATTAAGCATCTCATAAGATACTTTGCTTCTTCCAGGTATTGGTAATAAATGTGTTAAGGAGAGCACAAATGAAGTGTTTAGTGCAGGAATGTGTAATATTTCAGTAAGCAGAAATCTAACATGACCCAACTACAGCAGTCTCTTTCTGATGCAGCACATGGAGCAGCAGTAGCTGGCATGGGCGCATTAAAGGAGGAATGAAGGGCTTCCAGAACTTCATGGTGTCTGACAGTAACATGACTTTTGTGGAGTTTGTAGAGCTCTTCAAATCTTTCAGGTAAAATATATTTTTGTTCTGTACTGATCTCATTCATCCAAGTTTACAAAAGAGCAAAAACTGAACTTTTCAGATCTTTCCTCAGTGTGCGCAGCCGCAAGGATCTCAAAGACCTTTTTGACGTCTACGCTGTGCCCTGCAATCGGTCCGGCCTGGAGCCCGCTCCGCTTTACACCAATCTGAAGATTGATGAAAATAGCAGTGGATTCCAGCCCGATTTAGGTTTGTTAACGGGGAAAATTCTTCAGTTATTGGCCTTAAGAAAAGGTGTCTCAGTGAGTCTCGTAAAGAGCTGTCAGTTACAAGTTTGAGGAGAGGATTGCTGCCATACATCCACTAACACCTAGTTAGCAGGGGCTGAGACAGGTTCTTTGTTCAGAAGTGAAGGGAGGAAAAGCATTCCTGTTTTACGTGAGCCAGATATGTTTGTAACTGATACAGCAGAGGAGTAAAAGTTGTTGCTGAGTGTCTGGGCCCAACATGGGGTTCTGTGCCTGGAGAACGAGCTGTGGAAGAGCTAAAACACAAATGTAGGGAGGAGAAATGGGGAGGCTGTGCCTGTGTCTCATGTGGTGGGTTTTCTGGCTGCACGTGGTGGCAAGGGGCAGCAGGAGGGTCCTGGGTGACGGTGTGAGAGGCTGTGAGTCCATGGTAAAGGTTCCAGGGTTTTGTTTATAGTAATTGAACACTTATAGCCTGCTCCCACTGTTTGCATACACACTCAGTGCTCTTTTTTTCTATTGGTGAATAGAAACAAGATGCTTTTGTTCTAATTTACTATGTCAGTCCTAAAATATTCAGTCAGATACTCATACATATAACATATTACATGATATTCTACACAGTATATGCAATAAACATTATTATATAGCTTATATTTCCTGTCTTTTCTTCTTTTAAGATTTGTTGACTAGGAATGTTTCAGACCTGGGTTTGTTCATCAAGAGCAGGCAGCAGCTCTCGGACAACCAGAGGCAGATCTCCGATGCCATTGCTGCTGCCAGCATCGTGACCAATGGTACTGGTGTTGAGAGCACGTCCCTGGGAATATTTGGTGTGGGGATCCAGCAGCTAAACGACTTCCTGGTGAATTGCCAAGGAGAACACTGCACCTATGACGAAATCCTCAGTATTATCCAGGTCTGTGATACAAACGTTGTGCAACTCCTTTTACTTGAACTCTTGTTACTTTGGTTTTCCCCACCAGCATTGTCCCCCTTTTCAGAATAGCAGAAATCTCTGGGTATCTCCTTCCACACTGATGTTGTCACTACAGTATACTTGAATTTAAAAATTAATACTATCTTAATTCTGGGCTATAAAATTGTGCAGATGTCCATAAATGTGTCCATAAAAAAAAAAAAAAAAAATCACACAAATAAACAGTTTTATTGGCTGTATGTGCTTTATCAGGAAGGGATATCCCCACTTGGGAAAAGTATTCATGACAGTGCGTTGTTTTCTCCATGTCTTTGACCACCTTTGATAGAGATTAACTCTAGTTTGGAACTTTAAAACCCACCATTTCCACATATTTTTATTATATTATAAAAAATCCTCCAGAGGAAACATGGGCATTTTATTCCCTTATGTACAATGGCTGAAGTGAATAGAAAGTATGTAGAAAATTTTTACTTCCTCCGAACGTGCATAATTAAAATGCATTATTATCTAAAGTTAAGTCTTCACTTCAAGGCTGAAACCTGTCTATTTGAGCTATCAACATGTAATATAAAATGGCAAAGTTTAAAAGACAGAAATTCTAAGGAGACATCAGGTTAGCATTCCCCACGCCTCTGTAATTTGCAGTGGTGCTGGTTGGTGAAGTGCAGCAGACGGGAGAAGGACACCTGGTCATAGACCCTTTGGAATTGGAGCTCAGGTGCCAACTCTGCGGCTCTTGGGTTCGGGGACTCCCAGCCTCCCTCCAGCCGGAGCGGTTCTGGGATGGAACTGGGATGGAACTGGGATGGAACTTCTGAACTGGGAGTTCCCTGGGCATGTTTAGTCATTAGTAAAACAAGCAGGAGCATACTGCAGGCATCTCGTTACTTTATCCACAAAAGCACTGGTTTTACACACTAACTGGTTAGTTCCATAGGCACGCTACGCTATGGAAATATGAAAAAGCTGTATTTCTAAGAATTGTTATTATATCTCTCTTGAATTTCTTCCTTTTATAGAAATTTGAACCCAGTGTGAATATGTGCCAGCAGGGGCTGCTATCTTTTGAAGGCTTTGCAAGGTAGTTATGTGTTAATTTTTATATATATATATATGTATAAAGATGACAGCAGTGTATTGATGTCTGTATGTCAGTCACAATACTCAGTGCAGCATAAAACTTCCTCACATCTTCTCACCTCTAGATTTTTGATGGATAAAGACAACTTTGCCTCCAAGAACGATGAGTCACAAGAGAATGCCGAGGACTTGCACTTCCCACTGTCCTATTACTACATTGAGTCCTCCCACAATACGTACCTGACGGGCCACCAGCTCAAAGGGGAGTCCTCGGTAGAGCTCTACAGCCAGGTACGTGGGGCCGGGCCCCGAGCAGCTCAACGTGAACGCGTTTGTTTAACTGGCAGGGCACAGAAACATGACCTTTTTGCTTTGAAAATCTAGATGTCCTCAACCCCTGCTTGCAAAAACCTTGGAAAACATGATGTGTGGGAAAGCTGCCCGTAAGCACAGTTGTGCTCAGATGCCTTTTCTAAGGCAAAAAAAAATTGGTTTAGTTTGAGATTCATAGCATTTAGACACCAGTCGGTCTGACCCAACCTACTAAAATTAGACTTTCCCACAGGAAAGACTGATCTAATATTTTAGTTCATTCAGATGTCAAAAACACCACTCAAATACTGTGCATTGCACTGCAGAGACAAATTTCAAATGGAACTATAACTTCTAAAAACGTTACTTCTAGGAATATTCTGCAGTTTTCCAGACTTTATGCCTGGTCGGTGGTGCACAGGAAGAGAAGGGTTTCTCCCTGGGGCTTTCGGTTCTGTGTGTGTTTGTGTGTGTGGATATGTATATTTATATGAATTTGTGTCTCTGTGTATTTACCAAATGCTAGAGAAAGCATCAAACTTCCTGTGAGCGGTGGTTTCATGACTTTAGATGTTGATGACTCACCACGGAGAAGGGCTCATCTGGGGTCCCTGCGCTGCTTCCCCTGGAGTTGGGGGGGGGAGCTGTGCTAAGAAAGCCCAAATGACAGGATTGCACCGAGTAAGGCAGTTGCAGGAGGTTCCTGTGGCAGCCCTGCGTGGGGTGATGTGAGTGTTGTGTTGGGAACGGATGGGGAGCGGGACAGAGCTCAGCTGGCTCCACAACCTGTGTGATGCAGAAAAGCTTCTTCCTGTCTCTCAGTAGTTGTCTCCAGCAGAGAAGGGGCTCGTTGTCCTGGCTCTCCCACAGGAGACTGATGGACACAACTGCCCGAAACATAATTATTTCGGTTTTGATAGTAGAAGTAATTTTTTCTTTGTCCATGAATGGTTTTGCTGGTTTTGATTGTTGAGATCTTGGTTTTCAGCGAAATATCTAATTGTAATAGAGATAGCTCTTCAATGGCAGGCATGGTAAATATTGCTAGCAATAGTAACTGGGCTGCCAACAGATGGGGTAGCGTGTTGGTCCCTCCATCCATCCTCTTTGCTTTCTTCAGGCTTTTTCTAGCAAGTAAGGCTTTCTAAAATAAATAAATTAATACGTGGTGGGTGGGTGGATGGATGGATGAATGTAAATTAGCTTAATATCATTAAATTAGATGGCCCGGCACATTTCCATACTAACTATCCTCATGGAAGTTCATAAGACATTATTTTCAGACCAGACCATCTTCCATTTAAAGGATTAACAACAACAGCAAAGAGAACCAGCAACCAAACTGCAGTTGTCATGCCCATAAGGTGTCACGGTGGCAACCTGGAATAAACTGCCGTGTTAGTTTATAGCTGCTTTTGCAGGTAGAAATATGGAAATGTCTCTCTCCCTCAGAACATTAAGAAGCACTTTTGGCAAACAGAGTCCATGTGTCCTGTAAGACACCATGAATTTCCAAGCTTTATGGTACTTCTCCTGAGAATATGAATGCTTTCTTAATTTTCCCTGCTCTCTCTCCACCTGGTGACTGTGGTTAGGTGGGGACTGCGGTGTCCCTGGGCTCTGTCTACTCCACACATCGCTCTTCCCAGCACTTGTGCTGAATGGCTGGGCTTTCATTTACCTCTGCAATGTCCAGCTTCTGCTTATTGGCCTGAGCCTGTGGCTTGTCCGTGCTGACACTGTTGATTGCATTGCAGGTCCTTTTACAAGGCTGCAGGAGCGTAGAGTTGGACTGCTGGGATGGTGACGATGGGATGCCCATCATTTATCATGGGCACACTCTTACTACCAAGATCTCTTTTAAGGTATGCTGGTAATTGCACATAGAAACAAAAAACGAGAGGAAGATCAGTAAGTTTTTCTCTAATGAAGGAAGAAATTTACCTTCTAGAAGCGTACAAATCCTAATGGGCTAATTCTTGATAGAATGTGAACTTTGGAGTGTGTCAGACATGAACTCCTCAATTATAAACATGCTTTTCAAATTAGTTTTGGTAGCGTATGTAATGCCATTTTCTGTCTTTTTATTTCCAATATAACTACCGTAAGTAGCTGTTTCCAGTTCTGTTGTAAGAAGGTGCCAGGTTGATCTGTAGGAGCTTGTTTGGAAAGCAAATTGTGTGTTCTTACTTCTTAGGGGGGAAAACAGATGCTTTCATTTATCCCCTTTCTCCCCTCTCAACTAACAAAAGTGAGCAGAACACTGGAAAATAATGACATGTTCTTTCCCTGTCCGTTCTTGCTCTCCCACAGGAGGTAGTTGAAGCCATCGATCGCAACGCGTTCATCACCTCCGACATGCCAATCATCATCTCCATAGAAAACCACTGCTCCCTGCCGCAGCAGCGCAAGATGGCGGAGATTTTCAAGGTAGGCCATAAACTGTGGTAAATTGTTCTAAGCACGTGCCTTGGGATTTTCCATAATATAATCACATGTCCTTGATATTTCAGAATGTATTTGGAGATAAGCTGGTCACAAAGTTCTTATTTGAGAGTGACTTTTCTGATGATCCCATGCTTCCATCTCCTGGCCAACTGAGAAGAAAAATCCTGCTGAAAAACAAGAAGCTGAAAGCCCATCAAACGCCAGTGGATATATTGAAACAGAAGGTAAAGTCCTTCCTGCACAGCAAGCAGTGAGACCTAGCTTTTGTTAGGAATTATTCATTTGTGTTTGAATGTTTTGTCATTCCAGTATGTACAGCAGAATAATCTAACACATATTCATGCTTGGAAGACTCTCAGTGGATTGCAACGCTTTCAAATAAGTATTAGACAAGACATATAGTGAAGTATAGACACAGCATAACAAACTTACAGTGTATTTCAGTTTTATAATACTTCATAATATTATGATCAGCAGCACTACATGCCCTGTGTGATAAACAAAAATGAAGTTTCACTGTGGGGCTGTGACATTTGCTGTTCCTGTTGGTTGAGAAATAGTGATATACATTGAGTGCCTGTGTATATATACAGTGTTGAGGCAGTTTCAGTAGAATTTTGCTTTGTTTCTTTTTTCATGTTCAAGCCAGGGAAATACTCTGACTGCCTTTTCAGGAGGACTCTGCTATTCAAGCAGTACTTATACCTATGTGACAATTCTTTTGGTTTCTGAAAATAAGGGCTGCATCTCTGGTAGCCTCAATTTAACAATGTCTGTGGTTAGTCAGCAATTAAATTGAATCTTGGAAACAAATTGCTTTTACCCAAAATGTAAACACAATTGTATTAGAATTGAATTCTTTTATAAGACCAAGTAAAACACACTGATTGTACCAGTATATGGATATTCTCCATCTTTTAAAACAATTCTAAACTCTTTCCAAAACAGCATACCTCGGACTGGAAAAACGTAGTTCTGCTCTGAATAATGTGCAAAGTGGACATTTTCCCATAATTAATTAGGTTTCGTATCTTACTGGGTGTTTTTCTACCAATACAAGTTTTCTTTATATTCAAACCCTTAAGATGATATTTTAGTTCGATCTTAGCAATCTTACTTCTCATTATGTATATATTCAGTGCTTTCATATAAATAAAATAAGATGCAAACAGTGATGTTTTTAAAAACCCCTACCAATAATGTAATAAGTGGTTCTGTGGCTGCAGGCTCACCAGCTGGCACATCTGCAGGCACAGGCCAGCAACGGTGCCAGCAACCCCACACCCAGCAACGAGGAGGAAGAAGATGAAGAGGATGAATACGACTATGACTACGAGTCTCTCTCTGATGGTAACTATATATATATATATATTTACTTATTACATTGCTGTTGTTAGAATTGTAGGAGTAAGGCATGTAAATTCTGCATTCAGGAACGATGTGGAAATTGTGGGGGCTAACAGTGTCAGCAGATTGAAAAGAGGGATTGGACCAATTCTTGGCAGGTTTACAACCGAATGTTATGTGTAGAAATATAGGGTCCAACATCCCTAATGTTCAGCGGTTGTGGCTGCTGGGTGGTACCAGGGAAGTGGACCAGGACTGGGGATGGATGCCCTCTTTCAGCAGCATCTCCCAGTCCTGGAGAGAGAGCGGGGTTAGATGGGCCCATGGTCTGGTGGAGGTGGGCACGTTCTAGCTGTGCAGTGAAACCCCTATGTGTGATGGGTACCCGTTGAAGTTCTTGGTACCGTGTTTGGAGAAGATGTGAGGCTGGAGCATGTCCTGCAGCACAGGGCTTTTTTCCAGCTGCTCTCTTATTTACATTGCTCGCTTCTGTGTTTAATGATGTAAAAAACAGTCACAAAATTAACAAATGCTGCTCAGGAGCTGACACTGCCTGTGGGAGAGCAGTATTAGTTACGCTAATAGGAAAATGTATGAGTTTGGTGCGATGCTGCTTTCAGTTGCCTTTTGCTAGAAAGTTGGCCTAAGTGGCTACTTGAGAACACTCCTCGGGTGGGACAGGGTGGAGGTCGTGTGGATGTAAATTGCTGTGAAAGACTTAGACCTTTGTTACCAGACCTGCCGGGGAGGTATTGCAGGCCAACCGCAGCCAGTGGTGTCTGAGCAAGGCTCTAGTTAGGAGAAGGTTTGAGAACTCTGAAGCTGGCAGGAGACATGCACACCTCCCGGTGTATGAAGGAGTCTGCAGCATGATTTACTGCTTTATTACAATGGTTATTCTTTGGGATCTTTAATTATGTTAATATTTTGGCAAAACTAATCTAAATAACAGTCTGTAAACTTTCTAAAAGATTTTCAGTTTTATTTTCCTTACTGATACATGAGGTTTGTGTAAGGCTAATAGTCTTACAACTGACACTTAATTTTCATTTCTCTGGCTGTAAATCTTAATTTCCTTTCCTCTTATTCCCTCTCTGACTCCGTTTCCCTGTAGCTGATGTCCTTAATGCTTCTCCTGCTCCTAACAGCCAGGAAGGTAAAGGCCGTTTGGTTGAGCATTTTAACTGCATGAAATCAGCACTGCATCTCCAGCCTGTTAAATGGGACCCTGGGAATGTGTGGTTTCTAATTCATGTTAAAACTGCAATCAGATTTTTATTTTTTTTGGTGTTGCTGACTGGCAAGAGCTGTTAAAAGGCTGCATGTACAACACTGATTATGCATAAAAAGAGTACGGTCAAAGCATCAGGAATCTCAGGAATGAAATAAAACCATTCCTTTTGTGACAGTTACAATATCTTGGTCCAGAAAGGCCAAATCAGTAGGTGTGTTATTCTCTGATAAACATGTGGCTTTTAAGAGGAATTTTTATAGATATAAAAAATGCTTTTTCACGGTGAATATAAGGAGAGGAAAGTCAAAATGTGCTGTACAAAGACCTGTACCTGTTTGATGTGGTTAATTGTGTTTGGGCTTGAGCAATTCTCTGTTGTTGAGGAATATCAGTTGTTTTCGGATGGCAAAGCCTAACTCATTAGATGATTTTGTTTTTTAAGCATCTTCTGAGCACAAAAGGATGGGCTTTAAAAGAAGTGCAACATATTAACCAAAGCCAAGCATTAATTTTTTGACGTAGGAAGTTACCACTAGAAAAGAATGCTTTGACCAGTAAATGCATTATTTTGGCATCTGGTTATTCAGATAAGATTCACAGCATTGTCCACAAATATCGTTAATTCAAATTAAGTTTCCAGTTGAAACTGTTTGGCTTTATGTTTATTAAAATCCCATTGATTTTTAGATAACATTCTTGAAGACCGACCTGAGAATAAATTATCAAGTGATAAACTGCAGTTTGAATATAATGAAGAGACTGCCAAACGAATAAAGAAGGCTGATTGTGCTACTTACAATAATAAAGGAAAGGTAGTTCTGCTTTTCCTCCCCCTTTCTTCTCAGCCACACTTTGATAGAGAACCAGCTTCAGAGGGGTTTGAGCAGTTTATGTAGCTGAGACATAGGATGGCAAATGCGCTTTAATGAAGACAAATAGTAGAAGGCGTGGAACCGCACCAGAGAAAATAGATTAACTAGAACAAGATTAACTAGAACAAACGCCCAACATGCTGTTTGAGAAAAGTCCTTGGGGCTCACTGGATATACAGGCTGCTTGGCTGGAAATGTTAGTTGTTGTTACTCTCAGTGGAAGATTTCATTGAAGCCAGACCCAGAGGTTTATTTAAATCCCTCATTTCCATTAACATCCATGGAACTAAAGATTCCACCTGGGCCTTCAGCACCTTTGTGAATCTAAATAACCGAAGTGGGGCATCAGCCAGCCATGCTGCCATTATCAAATCACGCGGCAACTGAGCCAGAGGGGTGCTGGTCAGCAAATTGTAGCTTCTCCTGAACACAGACCTGTGTCTAGAGTTTTGTGTGTTTGTAGAATGGGTTCTGGTTGAGGCTTTGCCCCCTGCAGCGGTGTCAGGGACAGGTACTGGGCATAAACCTGCCATGGGGACGTGCCAGGTGAGGACAGCAAACCAGAGAGGAAGGAGAGAAAGGACTTTGAGGACATAAGTAGGACACACGAGAGTACTTTCACATTGAGTAATCGTATTATTGTCTGCTCTTGGAATCATCACGTAGGTTTATGACATGGAGCTGGGTGAAGAGTTCTACCTTCCACAAAACAAGAAGGAGAGCAGACAGATCGCCCCGGAGCTGTCGGACCTGGTCATTTACTGCCAAGCTGTGAAGTTCCCCGGTAAGGACACTTGGTCATTTACTGCCAAGCTGTGAAGTTCCCTGGTAAGGACACTGCCCCCTTGCATGGCTTCAAGCTCTCTGATTCTTGGAGATGTTCTGTTTATGTTTGGAGTTAGTACAAGCATTTTCAAATTGAAGTAGTCGAGGAGCTTTTCTCTTGATGATTTGGTAGTCGACATAATAATAGCTGCTGGCTGAGAAGTACAAGTCATAAATTACGTGAAGATGTACTGTTTGTCGTATTACAGCGTTTACAAAAGTGAGATTTGCCAGTGTTCACAACCGCTGTGCTGCTAAGTGACAGAGGACAGAAAGCTTTATCTTAAGAGCTCCAAGTTTCCATGTAAGGACCTACTGGATTAGAGAGGAGAGCACTGGGGAAACGGTGCAGGAAGAGCCCGTCACGGTTCTGAAGTGAGCTCTTGGGAGCCATTGGGGGGGAAAGCAGCCTTCTGGTGTGGGGTGGGGTGGGTGAGGAGAGGTGGTTGCACATCACACCCCTCATGGGGGGGGTGAGGAAACAGGAGAAGCTTCTTGTGCACGGTAGGAAGGATAATGTTTGCAGAGGGGAAGGAGAGGGAGTAACGGGCCTGGGGATCGCTGGGAGTTACTTGTGCGGCACCGAAACATGAGCTCGAGTGTGTTTTGGCTCATACTGTGCACATAAATACTTTTAAATTGAGAATTTATTGTTTATTGATGTGTTTAATGTTTTGAATGAAAAATCTGCTTTTTAATGGAATGGTTCTCTGTGGAAAAGTCAGTGATTTTGCCAAATCATGATCTTATACAAATAGAACTATAATCAGATTAGAGAAGCTAACCAAACAGAAAATAGTGTCAGATAGGCAAGATAAACATGCTGAAAAATGGAGAGACATTCTTTTATAATCTTCTATAACTTTCAGAATTGTAGGTGTCACTTGTAAAAATAATAACTTCTAAAAATTCAAATCTGATACTCTTTTTAATGAAATCTGCAGGAGATATCTTTCAAATAAAATATTTTCTTTTGCAGAATGATATTCAAGATTAAACAGACATAGTTTAAGTTGTTCCAAGCATTTTGACACACAAAGATCTACTGATGTTCTAAGAAAACTTTAAAATGTTTCAGCTTTTTTAATGTAATTTCAGTTATAAAAGGAATACTTGCTTTCCTCATCAGATTTCTTCCTCTTGTTTTAAAGAGAGCGCGAATAGAACAATTAAGAAAATGAGTTCCTTTTGCTGATGAACACATGGAGCTGTAGAAATTAGTTTTCCAACAAACTTTGTCTCCTTTGAGACAAATGCTGCCTTCTCCCAGGCTGTGCAGCCTCCCGTGGCCACCTTCTCGGAAGGTGAAGGCCTGTGCTCTGGGCTTCCCGTGGTTACAGGTGGGCACCCACCGGCAGGGCTGGTGGCCGGGCTGGAGGCCGGGCTGGTGGCCCTGCTGCTGAGGGTCCTTACACAATGGGCAGGGAAAGCTGAGAGCAGGGAGGCACCTGAGCTAAGCCAGCATGAAGTGCAGGCTCCACCTCCCTTGTCTCAGAGTGTCTGCCCCCTCTCAAGAAATTCAACTCAACATAAAAAAGAGCACTCTACGTACAAAAGTTCCGTAAATTCTTTGTCAGGGTCTCAGACCCACAGGCTAACTGGCTGCTGGTCTGAAACTCATGGTGAGGAGGTGACAACGGCAGTTTAACCTGTTCCTTTGGCACGGTTAGAATAAGGACAGGGAAATTTGCCGTCCTCTGGGTTAAAACTCTGACACGGTTAGAATAAGGACAGGGAAATTTGCCATCCTCTGGGTTAAAGCTCTAAGAGCAGAACACAGTGTGGTTCTGTGTAACAGGAGGGAAGAGCACTAAATTCTGTAATTCGAAGGATATAGCGTAGGGGTTGTAGGGACATGCAAAACACTCATGGTAGTGTGGTAGGATCTACGTGCAGTGTGGTGGGATCAAAGCTGGTCCTGCCTTGACCAGAGAGCTGGCCCGGATGAAGTCCAGATCCTTGCCAACCCCTGTTATTTCATGAATTGATGATTCTGTGTATAGGTGAGGCTATATCTTGGAGTCCAGTTTAAATGGGGCTATGGGCACGGTTTCACTGGGTGCATGTTGGGGGTGTGAGGGTTGGGAGCTGAGAGGTACAGCTGTGGACAGGCTTCAGGAGAGGAGCCCAGTGTGTGCTTCATGAGAGGGTGTGTGTTTGCAGGTGAAATTAGCATTAAATCCACAACTGTCTTCTGCCAGGTGTGAGTTGGTATGAGTTCCCAAGGGTCGTTTCATGAGTCACAGTGGTTTTGCTTGGTTCTGTTCTGTAACACAAGCACATCTGGGGAGCACCCACACCTCGCTGCTGGGGAGTCACAGTAACCATTGTGCTTTTTGACTTTGATTTCGGTCTGCCATGTGCTCTCTCCAAGTTAAAAGAAAATGGCTTTAAGGGGGATTAAGTCTGGTCTTCACTGGGATTTAGGTCATGATTTTAATGATTATTTTGCTAGAATGTGTGTGTTAGACTAATAGCTCTACTAGAGCTTTCCAGCTTCACTTTCAGTGCATATTGGCCACTAAATGCTTAATGGGTTTTGCACACCTACCATATTTCCTGTTCTTGAAATACAAATTCTAACCAGAAGAAGATAACTCTGAAAACATCTTGAGGTTAAAGTGTTTAACCCACAGCATTTGGGCTTTTTCCTTTACATTATCTCTTTAAATCCTGTCCTTGCATTTCTGTAATTCTGTAGGTATCCCTTCCTAGGGGAATTCCGTGATGTTCACTGCTGTACAGATTTAGTGCTGCCGTGGAAAGGAGGGAATTTTTAAATTATGCTAGGGATGAATACATTGAGACTGTTACTGCAGACTTTTTTAGTATTAATTAGGACCATTTGGTAATTTGAGACAGAGCCACTACCTTCCTCAGGCCAAAACGTAAAATGGAGAAAAGTTATATCACAGAGAGATAACTGCGTATTGTGTTGCTTCATGTAAGTTTTTATATACACTATATGTATAAATATACATAATATATACATACATAAAGACATGTAGGTATGTAAAGATGTTAAAATTAAATTATGGAGAAAAACACAGTGCCTGCCCTGTGTACTGTATAACAGGAGTATTCATGCCTTCAAAAATAATGTGAAATATGATGGAAAATGTTGTGCCCTCTTGGTCATGTTTTTTGGCTCATTTATTCTACATTTATGGGAACAGGCTTGTCAACTCTCAACCCATCTGGCTCTAGCAGAGGGAAAGAAAGAAAGAGCAGGAAGTCCATTTTTGGCACCAACGCCGGCCGGCTGAGCCCCGGGGAGTCGGCTGCTCTCGCCAAGGCATCTGGAAAAGGTAACGGGAGCCTCGTCTGCCCCGGCCCCGCGGGACGGCCCCGGCTGCTGGAGATCAAACGCTGCTCAGCCTGTGGGGTGCTGGGCTTGGGACCCCTCTGTCTGGTACAGCAGCACTGCTGCAGGGGGGCTATGTGCTCACAAACGTAAAGACCCTAATTCATAAATGGTTCTAAAGCAGCGTATATGTATCTATGCTCACAAACGTAAAGACCCTAATTCATAAGCAACATATATTTTAAGTGATGTATCTGAAAATTTGTACTTTAAATGGTATGGATGAATATTTTCAAAGTACAAATGGAAGGCAGAACTTCTGGGCTGGATCCAGAAGAGGATTGTTAGTGTCTGAAGTAGGACTTAGTTGCTTAAAATTCAGCCAAGTCCAAACGTGTAATTGTGCAAACTCCCATGTTCCACCTTGGATGTGTTTAGACTCTGCAGGTGGTTCAGTTTGTGAACTGAGAAATTGTACTTCTGCCTACCGATGTAAAGAAATACAGAGAAAGTAGAGAAGAGGTTCTGGGATGGGGATGAGACCCAGATCCTCGGCCTGTCAGGCGGGTGCCATGAACAGAGAGTTACAGAGTTGTGCCCTTTCTTGTAATTGTTTTCTGGCTCAAGGAACGTTGCGTTTCTTTCAGCCTAAGGGCAGGGCTACAGCAGAGGGGTTGGGTTCCTTTGAGAGACCAGGGTCCTAAAAATGAAGTGTGGTGCCTCATTCTAAAGGATATAGGTACTTTGCTGGCTTTGTCCCCTGACTCTTCCTGCTTCTGTAGGCTGCCTCTTTGGGGACTTAGTAGGTAGGTTTCCATCTCACCTCCCTTCCTCGTGTAAAATGTATAACTGAGAAGAATGGAATTTTATTCCTTTATTGTATTCCAGCAAATGCCAGATAAGTACTTACTTATTTAGACAGTTGCTGGCACATCTAATCACAGAATCCCTTCAATATTTAAACATTATGTTGCCTCTCATGGACGGTTCCTCCTGTATCAGAAGGAATGTGACACACTGAGCAGTGGCACTTTCCAGGCTCACCTTTTTCCACCACAACCCAAGAACACGCACACACTTCACTAGAAAACACGGAACCTTTGGTGTCCGTGGCTCTGCAGCTGCACCCTGCGGGTGCTCTCTCTCTTGCAGGCCCTTTCGAGGTGATGCGGCCGAGCTGGGAGGAGCCCTGCTCCCCGTACAGCTCCCCGGCCTCTCTCAGCGCCATCATAAGGACGCCCAAGTGCTACCACATCTCCTCGCTCAACGAGAACGCGGCCAAGCGGCTGTGCCGGCGCTACTCCCAGAAGCTGATCCAGCACACGGCCTGCCAGCTCCTCCGCACCTACCCCGCTGCCACCCGCATCGACTCCTCCAACCCCCACCCGCTCATCTTCTGGCTCCACGGCGTGCAGCTGGTGGCTCTCAACTACCAGACGGACGGTACGGCCCCACCAACACACCTCCTCTTACACCTTCCGTGTGAAATCAGCCCTGAAACGGGGAATTTGTGCTTGATGTTTGCCTTTCCCTGCTGTCCCGAGGGGACGTACCTGTCAGTGCACCCCAAAGCAGCCATGACAATCTGGTCCTTGAGAGGAGCCGTCCCAGAGCTCAGGAGCTTTGTGCCAGCGCAGCACATCTCCCCACAGCACAGCAACACCTTCCTTTATCTCTATTTTATTGCTGAAGGTTGTTTTACTCCCCCAGTTCAAGCAGTTGTTACCCCTTTCTGATAGTCTCAAGTATCAAAAGGTACTGAACTATTGAACTGAGCTTAGAAGTGCCTCCTTGGATGCTGGTTTAATGGTGATCCAAACATTTGTAGGCCACTTTCTATCCTATTTTGTGTTCTTTCACCTTTTCAATGGGGGGATACATTAGGTCACCTATGAAGCTGTACAGTCACTGCTTTTTCATTTTGCAGCTCAGGGCAAATAGCAAGAAACTTCCCAGAATAGGTGCAGGCAAGAGAAAGACAACAGAAGGGGACAGAAAAGAATGAACTGTCCTTACAGTTTTATGTAATTAAGTATTGGATAGATGGGCTACATAAATTACAGCTGTCTCTGAAAACCAAGAATGACTCAATGGTACACAACTAAAATTTAAAAAACCTGATACTTTAAAGATGTCTTTGCCCTCGCTGTCACAGTTCTTGCATCGTGCCGTTGCTCTCGGTCAGCTCTGGCTCCTTTACCCCCAGATCTTCCTCTGCAGCTCAACGCCGCCATGTTCGAGGCCAATGGTGGCTGCGGATACGTGCTGAAACCTCCTGTTCTGTGGGATAAAAGCTGTTCCATGTACCAGCAGTTTTCTCCGTTAGAAAGAGATCTCGATAACAAGGAGCCAGCTATATATTCCCTAACAGTAAGTACATGGAAAGGGATTTTCCTACAGCCAGGCAGATGGAAGATGTTTAACCCCAGGCTTTAACCAGAATTACAGCCGTGCTTGTGAAGGGATTGAACCTTCAGTTGTTGCCTGTACTTCTGAGGGTTGGCATGGCTGACAGAGATGGGAGGGGAAGGAGAAAACCATTGTCTTTATTTTATTGACTGGTTGGGATCCATAGTTACTTTCACTGTTTCCTTCACAATATTTGTAGAAACCCAGTCCTGAAAGCGTTTTCCCTGGGACTGCACAACTGTGTGGAATTGTACGTGTGCCCGGGTGTTTCACACGTGTGTGAACGCTTGGGGAGCTGCACAAAGAGCCATTACGAAAAGCTGTAGTGGGTCTTAAGATGGTATTTTTTAGAAGTCATATAATAAGATATATAATTCATAGATTTATGGCCAAAAGGTATTCTAAGCAGCAAGTTCCCTCCAGGAAGTGCGTCAGAAAAAGTGAGTTCTCCGGCTGCAATTGCACACCCGATCCCTGTGCCGTGCGTGCCAGGGCCCGCGGGGGCCAGGGCCACCACCCTCAGTCACGGAGAAGAAAATCTGATCCTTTTTGACTACATTACTGGTACATTCTTCCTGGATTAACTTTCAGGTGCCTCGAACGGTTACACTCGTGATGTAGAGTGTATTTTTTCAAAGGAAAGAGGCCAAAGCAACAGATGGGGGGGGTGGTGCCTCGAATGGTTACACTCGTGATGTAGAGTGTATTTTTTTCAGAGGAAAGAGGCCAAAGCAACAGATAGGGGGGGTAAAGCAGCTCTGCCTCTGCAATTACTGCCCTGGCAATGACAGGAGTAGGGGAGCGTTGTAATTAAATCAGTTTAGGAGTGGGATAAACACTATTGAGCTGGGAATCGCGACGTGCAGGCGTTACTGCACTGAGGGGTGTCTCTGTGTGCTCCCCGGCTGCAGATCGTGTCGGGGCAGAACGTGTGCCCCAGCCACAGCGCGGGGAGCCCCTGCGTGGAGCTGGACGTGCTGGGGATGCCCCTGGACAGCTGCCACTTCCGCACCAAGCCCATCCATCGCAACACCCTCAACCCCATGTGGAACGAGCAGTTCCTGTTCCGCGTCCACTTCGAGGACCTGGTCTTCCTTCGCTTCGCGGTGGTGGAAAACAACAGCTCGGCCGTCACGGCTCAGAGGATCATTCCCCTGAAAGCCCTAAAAAGAGGTACAGTGTAGTTTGTGGGGACACCCTGGGCCAGAATGGTCTGGCAGGTTCCTAACTGCATCCTGTAATATGGAATATATTGAATATTACAACCCAGGCAGCTCCATAAGTCACTCATGTTTCACAGCATCGTACAGAGTGAGTGCTCATGCAGTGTTACTGCAGGGTTTAAATCCTGTAGGGATGGAACGTTGTAGCTCTAAATACAGCAAATCTCTGTCTGAGACCAGGACATGGCAAAGTGCTCACCGAGGGGTGTTTTGTCTTTAGGCTACAGACACGTCCAGCTCCACAACCTGCACAACGAAGCCTTAGAAATCTCCAGTTTGTTCATAAACAGTCGGAGGATGGAAGAAAGTCCCTCTGGGAACGCTCTGCCTGCATCAATGGTAATTTAATTAATGTTTTGTGAATGCCATGTGGTTTTGTCTCAGTAACTACTGTGGTCTGAAGACTTCTGGAACCAGACTGTCCAAAGATCAGCTCCTAAACTTGCCTATTTTTCAGAAGTACCTCAGCACCTTTTGGGTTTTGGGGGAAGCCAGGTTCCCCCGCCCGGCTGAAACGGTGGGATGGTGAATCGTTTCAGTTCTGGCGTTGGGTGTATTGTTTGGGTGTAGCTGGAGAACTCCCGTGCTGGAGGAGGAGCGGGGCTGAGCAGGGAAGGTTCAGAGCTGCCTCCTGTGTTCCTTTGTGCATCAATCATAAGCAGTGCATTTGGGGCAGAAAAAGAAAGATCAAAATTGCCCACAACTTCGGAATAATGAGAGTCAGATTGAATTTTGTTACAGGGAAAGATAGAGTTTGTATTTGCATAAATACATGCATATTTTAACAGCTGTAACAGTACATGTGTCTGTATGCACGGTATGGATGTGATGTGGGTGGTTTTTTTTAAATAGCCCTCAGTGTTAGGTTACCTGGATGACTTGTGTTTTAGTAACTTTAAGCACGTATTTTATCACTTTGCTGAAGTGTTAGATAAACCCTCCTGAGCTACTGCAGGTGTTCCCCTCCCCTGAACCCGGGCCAGACACCCGGCTGGGTAAATGGGGGCAGGAGGGAAGGACATCAGTGGTTTGGAGGGAAAACCACAGCTGTGGCTTCTCATCCAGTAATTCGTGCTCTGAACACAAACAGTCTGAGCTCAGCTGAAATGGATAATAGTGATGGAGGTTCATGGACTCTCGCTGGAAAACTTCCTTTTTTCTCTTCACCTTTGGGGGGGTTCTTTCGGGGGGTCGGTTTGTTGGGGTTTCTAATGCCCTGATGTGTAGTGTACCATCAGTAAGAGCTGTATTTAGGGGCTCCCTTTGCTCTGTCGAGGTGTACGCTCAGTAGAGGGTCTTCCAGGCAGCCTTACAACAGCAACAGGCCTGTGTAGGACTCACTGGGTGACCTGCTGCCTGTTGTCCCACAGCTGTTCAGCGCGGGGGACAGGAAAGCTGCTGTCACCCACAAAGTGACGATCCACGGAGTCCCGGGCCCGGAGCCTTTCACCGTGTTTAGTGTCGGGGGGGGCACCACGGCCGCGCAGCTTCTCCACCAGGTAGGTGCCACCAGATTTGCCGACTGACGGCAGCGCTCCGCGTGTTCCTCTCCCTGCGGGGTCACAGCCAGGGGGTGCTTCAGGAACGGGCTGCTCTGGAGTTAATTACTTTGCAAACACAGAATATCCTCAGTCAAATTTTCCCAATCTTGGCTACAGAGGATGGGGTTATAATCTTATTTTAGTATCTTAATATTTGGGCCTATGCAGATGAGAAACACCATCTCTCTGACCCCCGTGGGCTGTCCTTACACCGAGGGCAAACGTTTCTCTGCAGTTCTTTGAATCTGAGCACCGTAGGAATAGAGAGTAAAAGTTAGAGGGCGAAGTTCATGAGCAGAAAAACCAGCTCACTCAACAGGGATTGTTATTCCAGCAGTGGGAAAAGACTGTACTGTCCTGGGATTATGAATAAATTGTCTGGGCAGCCAAATGGGACAGAAATAAGCTTAAATAGCACTGCCTTGTCTGGGAGGGCTGAGCTGCTGGGCTGCAGAGAACAGGACATTACCCTGGAGTGAAATATCCCAATAATAAATAGCACATCAGAAATCTCGCCTGCGCTATCTGAATAGTTATTGATTCTTAAAGCCTCCTTGTTCATTCTCATTTATAACTACTAATTATGCAGTGTTTATATTTAGCATTCTAATTGCTGTGTGTTTATTGTGGTCTGTCTTAGCTCTTGGCTACCACCAAAGGCACCAAGTCATGTGCTGCAGACTATTTTCTGATGGAAGAGAAAAGTTTTATATCTAAAGAAAAGAGCGAATGCAGAAAACCACCCTTCCAGAGGGTGATCGGGCCTGACGAGGGGCTGGTGCAGCTTCTGAACAGTTGGTTTCCAGAAGAAGGATACGTTGGAAGGATTCTCTTTAAAACCCGAGAGGAAGTAAGTCTGTTTTAGATAAATTGGTATTTACAAAGGTGGCTAAAAATAGCTGTTAGGACCAGGAAACAAAGGGCTGCTGTGTTTGTTTCACTGTTTGGTGAGTCTGTCACTGCTCTGAACATTGTTTGAAAACAAACATATCTCCTGAGTGAGCACAACTAGACTTTATACCCCCAGATGACACCAACCTGGCTCCCCTCAGCTCCAGCATCAGCCAGGTGGTGTTAATCATCATCTCAGCAGGTCAGGGCCACCAGCTTGCTGTTCTGATCATTCTGATTTCATCTAAATCTGGATTTTGACGTGATAGGAAATGAGCGTAAAGGAAGAAGGATAATAGCTAACACCAAAAGATCATCGATAACAGAACTCCAGATTCCAGTCATCAATCAGTGTAAATGTCAGCAACTTCTTCCCTCTTCAGAAAAATTAGAAAGGATTTTAATACTAAAGAAGTCTAAAAACCTCAAAGGCGGAATATCAAAGGCTATCAATGATAGCCTAAAACAATACAATAGGTGATTTAATGTAAAGGAGGAGGATGGAGTGATTACTTCAGTTTAAACTGTGAGCAAAACATCCAACGTTAGTGCCCAGGCTTGGGAGGGGAAACAAAACAGCAGGAGAAAGACCCTTGTCTCCTTTCCAGAGGCACTTCCTTTGGTCATTTCAGTGTATAACAGCGCTTGGGCTGAGCATGGTGATATTTACACACGTATGTTTATATGTGAAGATTTATACACACAAATGACAGATCCTTTGGGATCCGTTAAAATGAAAAAATACATTATTAATGGATTATTTTGTTCCAACTTTTGATAAAGCTTCAGTTTGACAAATCTGTGAAAACAATGCCATGGCTTTGTCCCACGATGCTGGTACCTCAGAGCATCATCTGTGCTTTGGAGCCTTCCCCCAGAGAGTCCCCTCAGGTCTTGGGGCTAGAAATGAAGCTGCAGATTTGCCCGGAAGAACAAGGAGTGGGAAAAACACTCCCTCAGGCTTCTTGCTCTCTCAGTTCTTCTGGTTTTAGTGCAGGGACCAGTAAAGAAAAGGACACTTCCCAGCATCTCCCCTCTTAATGCCACCACTACAGAAGATACAACAGAATTTTGCAAACATAAGGAAATAGAGGATTTAAGTGATCATTTTTGCATGATGTGGTGCGATGTGTGTCTCCGGTCCTTGCCTGCTACAGAAGGTGTTTTAGAAATGTGGGTATTTCTATAGGAACACAAGCCATGGTGGCTCCTCAGAAGATTTGCATTTAATGAAGCAGAGGTGGGGGGGAACAGCAGTCTCCAGCTTTTATGTGCTAAAAGCCCTCTGTGACCCCCCAGCTGTCAGTTACCTCTCCAGTCCATGGATTTGTCTCTCCTTTTCCCTGTAGAATTTAAATGAGAGGAACGTCTTTCAGGAAGGCAGGGAAGAGGCAGCCCTGGGCCCCGAGGAGGACAGTTTCTTCGTCCAGGTACACGATGTGTCCCCGGAGCAGCCCCGCACCGTCATCAAAGCCCCGCGGCTCAGCACGGCGCAGGACGTCATACAGCAGGTAACACACCTGGGGGGCTGGTGGTGGGTCAGTGACACATGGGGGGGTCACACCAGACCAGGGGGGGTTTGTCCCCAGCACGTGCTGGGGAATCCATTGCTTCAGTAACCCCAGTTTGAGGGAATTCCTTCTTTTTTGGTCTTTTCTGCTTGCAAACAGACTCTTTGCAAAGCCAAATACTCCTACAGCATCCTGAGCAACCCCAACCCCAGCGATTACGTGCTGCTGGAAGAGGTGACGAAGGAGCCGGCCAACAAGAAGTCCTCAGCATCTAAACCCTCGCAGAGGATTCTCTCCGATCAAGAGTGTGTGTTCCAGGCCCAAAGCAAGTGGAAGGGAGCAGGAAAATTTATCCTTAAACTCAAAGAACAGGTTCAGGTAAAAAAATTAAGTAGGTTGGGGCAGGTTTTATGGCTCAGCTTAATGGGCACCTGCTTCCAATGGGAGGGAGCTGCGACCAGCCCAAGGCTGGGTGGGGAGAAGAGACCATGGCAAAAAGCAGGTTCCTTTTTTCGCCGGTTCAGGTAAAAAAATTAAGTAGGTTGGGGTGAGTTTTATGGTTCAGCTTAACGGGACCCTGCTTCCAATGGGAGGGAGCTGTGACCAGCCCGAGGCTGGGTGGGAAGAAGAGACCACAAAGAACCTGTAAAAAGCAGGTTCCTTTTCTCCCTGCTCCTCCTGTACCTTTTTCCTCGGCAGAACCACCTCGGTCACCCCAGCACGGGCTCCCTCCCCCTCCACATCCCCTCACAACAGCTTCTTTTCCTACCAGCTCTTCCTCAAAACCTGCTGGCACAGCAAAGCAGGACCAGCCCAATGGCCAGGAGTGACCAACTACTGCAATAAAGTCCCTTTTCCTGTGCCATAAGCACAGATTTTTATACCAAATTTGCTAAACCTACCTTTGATGATGTTTAATTTTCAGTGAATGTATTCAGAACAATCAGAAGGTGCTGGGCGTGAGAGCACAGCCGCATGGAGTTCAGAGGGGGGGCTGCTTCCACAACTGTTGTGTTTTCCCATAAATTCTGTATCTCCAGCAGCCCCCCGGCCCCCAAATCCTCTCCGATGACCCGATGTATTTTTTACAGGCAGCCCGTGATGACAAGAGGAAAGGCCTGTCCTTCACCAGCGAGCTGCGGAAGCTGACCAAGGCCAGCCGGCAGTACCGGGGGCTCTCCTCGCCCCCCCTGGGGGTGCCACCCGAGGGGGCGCAGCGCGAGGACAGGGCCCCCTGCGGGGTGACCCTCGGGGACACCGTGGAGTGAGGAGCCGCTGCCCTGGGCACGGGCCCTGCAGGTACCAGACACCCACCCTACGGGGTGGGAGCGGGGCGAGGGCTGGGCTTCACCCCTTCTCTGACCATTTGAAAAACAAACCCCAAACGCTGCCTCCTGGTTGGCTTTATAGTAGGCATTTTAATGAACCAACTGCCCTTAATTAACACTGGCCCGTTACCTGTTTGCTCTGGTCCGAGATAAACAGGAGAGTCCCGTAGAGCTCTGGGTGGTTTTTGTTGCACACATATAATAACCTCACCAGGAGGGAGAGTCTCCTTTGCTGCTAGAACAAGTTTCTGATGGTAATTTCTCTCCGTGGAAATTTTACCAGAAATGTTTAAGCATTTTTACTGTTGTTTCTGTCTCAATTTCTTCCCTTTTGCTTGACTTGGAACAAGCGAAATAGAGAAGGGAGAAGGTGTCAGGAGCCCACCCCCAGCACCCTGGGGGTCACAGGAATCACTAACCCCCCCCAGTTCCAGGGATCCCCTCTCATGTGGCCAACTGACGGTCGCATCTTTGTTCCCACATACACCCAACTGGGTGGATTTATTTACTTAATAATTATTAAAGTATTATTGACATGCATTGTCATAACACTGCTAAATCATTACGTTAAATGAATTAAAATTACACTGTCATTTGCAAAACATTTCCACTAGGAAGGGACAGGTTCCATACCTTATTTCTAGGCTGCGATAAAGCCCCAAACAAACAGTAAAACCCCATCAAAACAACCTGAAACAAAGAAAAGCCAAGTAAATGCTGGAAAGGCCCCTGTCGCGTTCCCTCCTCTCCTGCTTTGCTGTCTGGTGGCCCCAGTCCCCCCGCATTTGCTGTCTGGTGACCCCCGTCCCCCCGCATTTGCTGTCTGGTGACCCCAGTCCCCCCACATTTGCTGTCTGGTGACCCCAGTCCCCCCGCATTTGCTGTCTGGTGACCCCCGTCCCCCCGCATTTGCTGTCTGGTGACCCCAGTCCCCCCACATTTGCTGTCTGGTGACCCCAGTC